ATTCCATTTTTAATTAGAGATAAAAGACAAGAATAACCCTTAAATTCAAAATATGGATTATAGAATGTATGTCAAAATACTCTCAAGGGAAGCCCGCATCTATAATCTGTGCTGTCCAATGCAGTGGCCACATGTGGCTGTTGAGCTCTTGAAATGTGATTGTTCTGAATTTAAATGTGCTGTAAGTGTAAAATACACTGTGGGTTTCACAGTTTTAGTACCAAAAAAAGAATGTAAAATAACTAAATTTTTTATATTAATTACATGTTCAAATAATAGTATGTTGGATTATAGAATGTATGTCAAAATACTCTCAAGGGAAGCCTGCATCTATAATCTGTGCTGTCCAATGCAGTGGCCACATGTGGCTGTTGAGCTCTTGAAATGTGATTGTTCTGAATTTAAATGTGCTGTAAGTGTAAAATACACTGTGGGTTTCACAGTTTTAGTACCAAAAAAAGAATGTAAAATAACTAAATTTTTTATATTAATTACATGTTCAAATAATAGTATGTTGGATATATTGGGTTAAATAAATTATATTAATAAAATTAATTTTACCTGTTTTTGTTAATATTTTCAATGTGGCTACTAAAATCAGATTTTAAGATTTTTATGTGGCTCACATTATATTTCTGTTGGACAGCACTGATTCATATTATCTCTTTTGAGGTTCATTAAATCATAAATAGGTAATATCTTTTATTTTTCTGTTACAGGTTGGACTAGATTTCTCCCCTAGATTTGCAGGCACTGATGAACAGAAGGAAGAGCAAAGACAAGTTCTAATCAGACAAGTCCAATTAGCCAAAAGACTAAATTTGCCTTTGTAAGTTAATTATCTTTCTATGTTAATACCTATAGAGTAAATTAAATAATGATCAGAATCCTCCTGAAATGGAGGACTCTATATTTCATCTGAAATACTTTAGTAGAACAAAAATAATACTTTCAGATTGGTACTTAAAAGGAAATTTGTTGTCGTTAAACAGAAATGTTCACTCA